GATAGTAGATTATATGTTATGGGCGAATGATTTTCTAACACGCTTTTACTTTTGGTTTATTATTTATTGAATCACATAAATTATATATATTTAATAAAAAAATGTATATAAAATTTTTATATTTATATAATTTTAAAAGAAACTTTTACTAATCTACCATAAAGGAAATTACTATATTATTTTATGTCATTTTTCTTACAACCTGAAAATATATAAAGGGTTCAATTTTTATGGCAATTCGAAAGTTATGCTCGCCTCAAACATGCGCAATTTTAATTTTATTAAAGCAAGCCCATCGAGTTCATGTCCGACGTGGAATCTCATTCTTTTTTTCCGCTGTGATGAAGAAATTTCCGCTTGCGAAATTAAGACTTGAGATCGCTATAATTAAGCCTCTTTTCGTCGAGTGTCGTCGTACGACAAAAAGAAAGTGTAAGAAGGTGATTCAAACACGTCAAATAAAATTATACCCACTTTTATAGGATATTACTAGTTATATATATTTGTACAGTTGTACTTGTTGTATTAAATTTTATTTAATTTATTTTTTGCGTTACGCGTATGAGTCCGCAATTAAGTATATCTTCTTTACATTGGCTGAGCAATACTTTAATGGAAATTACTGCCTATCATATTAATCTTGGTGATTTTCGATTAAAATGCAATGCATTTTCAAATACAGTTACTAACCACAGACATGTTCTCTAATTGATGTTCTGTTAAGTATCATAAATTATACTAGAACTTTGTAACATCTTTTTCTTATTTCTTAATACTTTTTGCTTCAATTTTTTCAGAGCGAATATTTAGTTAAAATGTTTTAACATTAAATATATATTACCTTAGAAGAAGAGAGAAAAAAAATATAATTTTACAAAACTTTTATAAAAAAGTTAATATTAAAATTATAAAATTAATCTAGCAAAAGAAATACTTTTTATGCTACCAAAGTATGATTTTTCATATTAAATATCTACTATGTTAAATAATTTTTATAAAAGTAACATTCTATTTCATTGATTGAACCCACGAATTAGGCAATTTTGGGGCATAAATTTTTAACACGGTGATTTCTTTACTAGTCTCTATTAATGTTTTCACATTCCACAATATAAATCTCTCTCTCCGATCTTTCTGGCACTCGTAAAAACATTTGATCGCGAGTTTAATTTTGCATTATCTTTATCTACCATAAATCGAGTTTATTCGTCGATACATGTCGTCACGAAGCAGGTTTTGCCAGATTGTTGATACTTGTTGTACTAAATTATCCGGTATTATCAAAGAATTTTCCGATTTCAAAGAAATCATCGATCGTGAAACATCTCGATCGTAAATGTCTTCAACTCGCCTATCGAACTCAATGTGGCGCGACGGCCGGCCTCGTGACAAGTTCCTCCTCGCGACACGAAGCTTCAGTCGTGATATGTGTGTCAGCGTGTTAACTATACGTTCGTCCAACGTGTCGTGCGACCTGTTTTCTTATTTTTCAGAAGCTACGTTTAGCAAATCATTTCAGAAGCTACGTTTAGCAAATCATTCTTATTTCTATATATATATATTTCGTACGACATTCCGAAATCACGGAAAATCATTGCGCGTGCAAGGTTGCTCGCAATTTTAATTCATGGATATTAAATAAATTCTTGATCTCGATCCTCCGCAGCATAGAAAAAAATGTTATTTTTTTCTGAAAAATCGTGACTGCTTAGAAAAAGCCACACGAGTTCTTTTGAAAGGCCACTCCTTCACGCTCTATCGCCCGTCCTTGATTCCGTTCGAAAAAGATATTTTTTTTTCTTCAGACACAGATTCATAGATCGGTGCTTTTATTCGTTGTAATTCTACCGTTTCTCGGAACTATAAAACGCGCAGGTGAATGTCGGGCAATCTCCGCGAGCGGCGCATTAACAAGAGCCCTCGGAATTTTTCTCTGCACACGGCGTGAACTATACTAATTCGCTCCTATTGTCATGACGCACCGTGTTGCGATACGAGTGAATTTATCGTTTGACGATAACTGGCATCGAATGCGGAATGCGCGTTCACGATCAGCGAGTCGAAAAGCCGGCAAGCCGATAAATCGCGGTTAATAACGGTGAACAGGCGCGCGCGTATAAGTCGGCGGTGTCTCGGAACGCTTTCGATCTTACGATTAGTAGCGTGACCCTATAGCGATAGCAATATACTTGTGAATTGTAACCAAATTGAATAATACCGTCGGCTCATACTCTAAGGTGGAACGTCACGCGGATTATTAATCGTGCGTATATCACACGCGAGCTGCGTGCAATAATTTCTAATTAAATCGCGGAGGTCAAGGTGCGGCGTTAATCCACGAACGTAAAATGCTGATCAAAAAAAAAATGATAGCTTTTTTTTGCTTATATTTCACACGATAGCTTGTCACGTTAGACGAGATATTTTTTTCTTAAATTTTTGCGAGATTTTTTTTTTCTTAAACCTGACTTTGTCTTATGCCTTCCTCTTTCTTTTTGATTTAACGGTCGTTCACGGTTGCGTCTACCTATCCTACTTTTTCTTTTTCTCTGGTGCACTCTTCGCACCTCGCTGCCTTTTGAGTGTCCATTTTGAAGTGATTGGACGGCAGAATGCCAGTTCTTGCAGCATCTAATCTGCATTGAACGCGGAAGCTCGTTTCGCGCCGCTATACGTCGACTTGCCATCTAGCGGAACTGGTTCTGTCGTCGGACAAGATCAAGGTTCTCTCACTAGAGATAGATCGAATCTGACGATATTGACGATCTATCTCGAATGCATGTCAACGCTGATCAGCGATAAGCCAATCTTGATCCGGATGGATTTTTCCACTCTCGCGTGGAGTAACGGATAACGTTCAATCTGCACGCGATTCACGCATTCCTGAAGCCTAACGTATCGATATCTTAGCAGCATGTTGGAATTTTATAGGTAACTCGTAACTAGCGATCATTATTCCACGTCGCAAATATTCTGCTCCTTTCCTTATTTCTATTACCTGTTATATAAAGTTCATTTCTCTTAAATGTAATATGCAATATTTTTTAAGCTTTATGTGAACCAGACAACTGATTTAATCAAACTTATTATACTTTTATATACGGATTCGATAATGATAACTTATATTTGTTTTGACTTTGATTTATTTAATAGAAGATTTAATATAAAGTGAAATATTGTTTAGAATTTTAATCATTAATATAGAAAGGATAATTATTATAAGTATTCAATATTGACAGGAAATAATGGTATGGTTTTCTTAGTGAGAGTAAATATTTGCTAGGACAATATCACTGTCGTCTCAAAATTTTTGGTATAAGCCATTTAAAATCAATTGGTCAAATCGAATATAAATTTTAGTAAAAATATAAATATATAAAATAATATAAAAATATAAATTTTAGTAATTTTGTAATTTTAGTAATTTTGTAAAATTTGTTCATTTACTCAGTAGCCTTCGGAGAAGCATAAAAACATTTATGACAATGATGGACATAATACCCCACCTGGTCGTAAAATAGCGATGATAATCGTGACTTTCCTTTTGTCAGACGAAGTTTATAACAGACATCTTCCTTTTGATGGATATAAAAAGAATTGGATATCAAGAATTGGATTTTACTAGATGTTAGGTGCGCGTTCTTTATGATTTCACGCGCTTGGTCGCCAATCGGAATTCGATTTAGAGGTAATCGCTAGAGGCGATACAAGGCCGCGAATCGTTCGCGCCTCACGTGTTCAAAAATAAATCACCGGTCTAGGCCTTCCTAACACAAGGTTGCTCGATCAACGAACCGAAGAATCGTCGTACCGGCGACATGTTTTCCAAGCCCTCTCACTTCTTTTTTCCACTCGCGCGTTCCGTGGCATTCGATTTCACGCGGTAATCGATCGACCATCGATCGATTCGCTCATCGTGTTTCCATTGCTCGTAAACGCCATGCGAGACACTTTGCTGAAAGCTAAATTTATTTGTAACGCACTATTAATAACTTTCACTTATTTGCAACCGCCTATAAAACTATGTAAGCGTCGTTAATCTTGTGCAATTGTCTCTAACTTGACATATATAGCATCGATATTACGTATTAGACTTTAGTAATATTCTAAGATGAAGCTATAAAGGATAGATCGCAGGTGAATATTTTAACGTCGATTCATATTACACACCGGTCATACGATAATAATTAGTAAAGTCTCGTGTAATTGAATTGAATTTATTTTACTTTAACCAAGGAAATACTTGCGTTATATATCGCAAGCGTATTGAAACTTCCGTGGATAATGTACGACCTGTTGCTTTTTAATCGCGGATTGCAAAAAATTATTAGCAACGTGATATGTCACGTGTTAAATCATTAGCAGCCCCGCATCCATCATTAACGATCGTGAACCCGCTCTCACGGCATTTCTGTCTCACTCAATCATTAATGATAAATTCTGATTAATCTAATTAGAGAATGTAACTCGCGTACCGTTACGTACTCCGTTGTATGCGTTTCCAATTAAATCCGCAGCGCGCTTAGGGACGCCATGTCTTTCGCGCCGGCACGTCATGCCATAGTCATGGCACATACACCGCGCTGGGGTATCAGAGTGTGATTGATACCGATCGGTGATTTTGCGATACTGTTACGGACGCAGTTAACGGCGGATCTTGTGCGACACGGCTCGTTAATCGGCCAACCGCGATATTACCGCGACGGGAAACGTGAGTGATCGATTGTGTCCGCGGCCGTTACGCGTCTCCGTGCATGCGTAATTAGCCGGCATATGCGTGCTAATCGGTAAAAGATTATATCTTGGTATAGGTCAAATCATCAAATTAAATTCTTATGTTGCTCAAATTGTCTGATCTTTAGTATCACTAATAATTTTTCCAGGTCTTTATCGATTATTCCTTTAGCATCTTGAGATTTTTTAAAGGCGTTTAGATAATTTGGGATTTCTTGTCGATATCGACTGAACATTTTTATTACTAAAAGTATAAAAGGAAGTATAAAATAAGTTATGCTTTTTTTCAATTGATTTCCGGTTTATTTCATTGAAAATATAAATATTGTCGCGCAGATAACGTATATAATTGCGCACATTGTGATATTAATATTTCTTTCGCAAGAAAATTCGAAATCAATTTTATTATATACAAGTTTGATCTGAGATTAACACAGACATGAAAGAAGAATTTAATATTGCAAAATATAGAAAAACGATTTTATTATTTTTTTTTGTAACGGCGGATACTTTATGAGGGAGATTGTCATTCGTCTCATAAAGCACCGACAGCTTCCTGGCTTTTACAAATCTGTAAATATACTCGCGATGCAAGGTGAATGTATCTTAAATTTCGTATCTTAAATACCGTTCATTTAGCCTTACCATCTGCCTCGTCATTTTTAGAAATGCAGGAATCTATGGTGCTGCATTTCGCGGCGTAAAGCATTCCTCGAGGTACGCCAGGCGCGGAACGGTGAATTTGCATAATGCGGATAATTTATTAACGTTCTACGCACTCGTGAGTGAAATTGCGACGTGCACGCTTTTCCTTTTGGGCATGTCGATAGTTTTATAGATTTGCATATTGCTGTAATCTTGGCTGCATATAGAGAAGAGTTAAATGATATGTGGACGGTATATAATTTGTTTTAACTGTAATAGTCTAGTCTTTTTTAATGCGAAATTTCAATGATAATATTCTTCTAACTTTAATGTCCTGAGATTAGAATAACCGATTTATTATTTCTTGAAAAAGTTGAAATTAATTATCCTTATCCATATATTTTCTTCCTTTCGTATGATTTTTACATTTTCTACTGTATAATGAGATTCTTAAGATTCTTATTAAGGTCCAAGTCGCGAACCTGCTTTGGCTCTTATATTTTCCCGTGGTTTCCTTTGAAGCTTTTGAATGACGAGGCAACGTTTTTCGAGCCGGACATCGCCTCTTGGAACTGCGCATGTCCAGTGTCGACGTGCATATGTATTATGCAAACGACGAAATGAAGGGTTAAAGTTCGCGGTCGCGCGATCCGGAAACCGCGGAGGAAAACGCGAGTCATCATTTCTCGCGCGTTTAACGCTTACGTGCCGGTCGGTCGGTAAATGATGCACTGAAGATTACGCGTTAGAATAACGACGGCATATAAAAGAGGATAATGCATGCAACTCAGTACTTAGAGGTTCTACCAACGGCCGTCCATGCGTCAATCTTGCACGTGGCTTTAAAGGTACGCTCACAGCGATCATGCGGAGATTTCACCGTTTTCCAGTGAAAAACGGTTCTTCCGCGTTTAATTCGGAGTAATTTCAGAAAAACAAAGTTATCTAACGTCCAAGTCGAAATAATGGATGTACATTCATCCGAAGCCGCTTTCTCCGCGAGTCGGATATCTTCAACAGACCTGTCTGGATTCGTGTTTACGAGATCATTATGTTTTCACACACAATATGAGCGAAATCAGTTACCATATATCTCGCGGGATACGCTGAAGACAAGTATACGTGAAAGATATGTACCGTTGAATACGTAATTGGTCGTAAAACATTCCGAAAAGTACATTCTTGAAAAATAAACTTAATTTTTTAGTGAAAACTTCGAAGAAACTGGCTTACGGAAGTAAGCTGGAGATTATAAATATTTCGTGAAGGAATATTAGTTAGCGTTACGACTGTGCGCGATGTTTGCTCTTGATAGCTCCAGTTAACGATAATAAGTATATCTGAGAAATTTCCGAGGACTTTGTTGCCGCGCCACGGTGAAATCGTTTGTGTGCCGGTTTCGCAACAGCCGCGCGCGGTTGAGTCAGGCGTAGCTTTTAAAATTTTCTATCGCGCGCGGAACAGCTCGGACACCGACGAACTCTCAACGTGAGGATGTTGTTGAATTGTCAGGGCAACAAGATACTCACCCGACCCCCCCGGCGAATACGATAATAGATACCGTCTCTGCTTTTATGTAATAATCGCCGCACGTTTTCGCGTTTCGAGGATACGATGTTATTCCGGTGAGTGAGTGTGGCTTTCAACGGCACTCATAGTAGCAATTTAAATTGGGATTGTCCCCTCTAACTATACTTTCATTACTTTTCTATTTTCTTCTTTTCTTTGGAGAAAAGCTAGCGCATGTCGGTCTCTCACTTTAAGTATAGAAAGCGTTAGGAAAAAAAAAGAAGTTACTGAATAGAGCGCACTTGATATGCTAACGATGTCGGAGAAGAGACTTCACATTAGCGAGCATTTTTGCAGCATGATTAAAACTCATCGGTACGTAAGTAACGAGAATTTCTAGAATATAATTGAAAAACATCAATAATGAGAACGCGTAACCATTAGTATAAGTCAGACATGGAACCAGTTACTTTTTTGACTCTTTCTTTATTTGTAACCGATGTAACGTTGGAGAATTATCAGTCGCAGTCTGCGACACACTGGCTTACATAAGGTTTCGCATATTTGTAGGACGAAGGATAACACAAACGCAGGCGTGAGTGTGTGTGCGAGGACCGGTCTCTAAAGGAGGGCAGTCAGGCTTTGGAGGATCGAATTTTGAGTCGCCAATTCTCACTTGTCCCTGAGCAATGAATGTTCTGCTCTTTACAATTGAATTGACTGTTTGATTGCAAACTTCACAAACGGTTCATGCAAATAGCATCGTGACCAACATTTTTATCGCGTGAATAAAAACGAAAATAAAACAAACTAAAAGTATAGCAGATTCATGTATAATAGCATACATAGCATTGATGTAATAGCTGTAAAATATTTTTTCTGTAAAATAATATTAACAAACTGATACGGAGTCATTTTAAAACCCCAGTTAAATAAGGAAAAAATAAATTTTTATCTTTGTAAAATTTTATTTCTGGGAAGCATATTTACAATATGTATTGTATACATTTGACAAAATATCCGTGGATATTTCTTGTGTTATTTCAGTATCTTGGAAAAATAAAGAAACACAGCTGGTTTCATATGTTCACATGTTGATGTCCAAGGCCATTATATGTGCCATTATTGATGGAAGAAACAGTAGATCATAAAATCAAGAAAGTAAAATCCAGCTACATCATCGAGCGCACGTTATTATCTGTTGCAGGTCCTAATCATTAGATGATCTAAGAACCTCTTGACGCAAATATCCTTAAATGCGACTTGAAATAATGAAAATACGTTTATTTTTCTGGAAAAACCGTCAAACAAGATTATCATTTTTGATCACGTAGGAGCGATATGCAGAACAGCTGTGCATAACAAAGAAATTAAACAGCGTATGTTTCCTTTAATAATTACATCATATCTGATTTGTACGTGGGACATAAATAAGAACGCATGAGTCATAATGACATTAATTTTCTGCCGACTGCGAATTATTTTTCGTGAAACGAATATATCGACGAGTCGCATCGAGCTGATCTAAGATTACCGAGTTTCTCGAAACTCAGAAATTTCCGTAGAGATAACGATCTTCATTTAAACTTCCACCATAGGATAAAGTCGTTTTCACGCTCATTAGAGAATAGGCCGCCGCGCTGCTACCGATTTCTACTTTTTACGTGACGCTTAGCGCAATTTTGCAATGTTATAACTTTGAGCACGCATACGGGCACGCTTGATGGTGATGGCCCGAGGAAGTCGGATGTCTGACAGGCGAAACGAATGTAGCATAACGAATTACGCAAGTATCTCTCTCTTCTCTCTTGCAGCGACGCGATGCGCGCGCGAAAAAGCATTTCTTCGTGGCTCTGGTCGCTCTTACTTTTTGCCGGTTGCTTTCTTTCCCGTGTTAAAGGGATTTGCTAACTCGGAAACATGGTTCAACAATTATAAATAATTGCCACTCGTGCGATTCGCAGAACGTTCGCAGCATTTCGACGTTATCTTTCGCGAAAAATAGGCTCTCTGCGGACTTCTTTTTTTTTAAACGCTTTTTTAAAACGTAGACATAGCTATGGCGACGATTTTCTATAGACTCGGGGATACGGCGCCGACAGAAAAGGTACATGCGAATCTCGCGAGACACTCGGAACTAACGCAACTGGACGCGTTTCTTCTCTCCTTGCCGGCCGACGACTTCGTTCGTGCCATTGTATCAGCTGTCCTCCTTTTAATGGCGGGCAGAATTACGAGGCTGCGTTTAATTGAGAACCGACGCGAACTCGGCTCGCCTAAGGATAACGGTGCGTTTTTATTACCTCGTTGGCCTGGAACAATCGACAAGTCGGATTCGCTCCGGCCCGGCTCCAATCAGGATTTTTCATTTCTACATCCGGTGCGGAAGTACCGGTTACATGGAATACTTCCTCGAGCTTTAACTATAGCGGCTATTCGTTTACGCGAAAGTGTTAATTTTGACCCAGTTGGGTGAAATCTCCATTTTGTAATTGGCGGTGAACGCGCGCGTAGCGGGAAATCCTCAATTAAATTAATTTGCTTTGATTTTGTTAAAATTTTTCGATATGCTTCGCACGATATATTTCTTTTGTTGATTACTATTCACTTAAATTATTTTGTTTATCATGCTCCTTCTTTGTTAAAATAGAGAAAATAATTGGCGCTAATTTTTCAAACGAGAAAAGATAAAGTAACTTCCGTATCACTTTATTCAAATTTATTAGGAACAAAGTGCAATGGCATGTGAGCATAACAAAGTAATCACGAGTAGGAAATAATCTTATCTGCCGCATTATCTAAAACTATTAGAAATTTTCTTTGCGTGTAAGAGAAGATCCGCGATTATATTTCAAACGTGATGTATATGAAGATAAATGTTATATAACATAGTAGGTTTTTTAACAATTTGGAACGTCAAATAATAATAATAAATAAATGTACCTCTTTTTGTAAAAAGAATAAAAGAAATTTCCGCTGTCTAATAACTGTCAGAACCGAAGGCTAAGAAAACTGAAGGAGTGCACGCTCCTATTCCCAGTCAGAAGAACTGCCTTATCAGATCTCTGATGTCAATGGTGAGATAGTGCAGGACAATTAGGTTCTATCTACAAATTGCTTCGTCATGCCTGATGTTATCTTGTCTTAATAATCGGGTCTCGTCCATTGTTTCACCATGTTTATTATTGTCTCGCAAGCGACGATAATAGTCTCACATGACTACAGTCTCGGTGTCGCTTCCGGTATATATATATCGCTTTCAGTCGTTGATCGTAAACGATGCGTCTCGAAAATCTCGGGCAATTTATAGATCAACAGAATACGATATTTCTTCATTATTTAATACGGAAATTTTTATATCAATATTTCCGTCTGAAAAAAGTATCTGCCTATGATATTATTACATGCTCAATTAAATTCCAGAGAGAGAGAGAGAGAGAGAGAGAGAGAGAGAGAGAAAGAGAGATTGACGATTAATAAGGCAGCGAAGGTGATCCAGGAAGTGTGCGGGTCGCGACATCTCGTCAGGGGATCTTACAGAGGATCGATGAGCCTCTACCGGCTCCCCGAGCTTCATCTCGCGGACGAGAAGTCGCGATTTTTTCGCAGCTCGACGCCCATCCCGGGGTGATTTATTCGAATTATAAATCGGCAAGACTCCCACGTCGAGATGCCTGCCTTGCCGTTCGTGGGAGGTCGAACGCGTCAATTATACGCGACCCACGCCGGCTGGGCTCGATTTGTACACGTGAAAGTGTTAGAGCATGTCACGAACCTTCGTGCCTATCTTTCCGCACACATACGATCCGTTTGATCCTTATCCGGGAAAAGTGTTTTGCTAATCGGACTGAAAGGCTGCAATAATTAATTTAGCTAATGCGGAAATGGCAACGCGTGAATTTATTTTTCATTGTTGATACGATGTTCCTGATCGATGTACTGAAATATTTCATTTCATTTTCCTTATCTAGAATTTTTTTAAAATTATTTTATTAGTTTCCTTTCAACTTTCACTATATTTCTGTATAGAAATGTCATTTTTAATTAATTAATGAACATGGAATTAAGCTTAATTGCTACTAAGTGTCATTTGTAAGAGTCAGTTTCATATTTTCGGCCAAGATTACGAGTTTTATTTTATTTTTATTTTCCATTGGGCGGACTAGTTTTGAAGTCTCGTACCGCGCATTTCCTTTGTTCACGCGGTCGAAACGTGCGTGGGTACTCGGAGGTCAACGGTTTTGGCAGAAGAAGAAACAAGAGAGATAAAAAAAAAGTCGTGATCATCGTTGCGTTTGTAGGGAGCACGAGCGGCGCGTATCATCACAAGTATGATTATATTCATGCGGGAAGTATTCTCATTAAGTTGAATCCCGCGGAATAGAAGCTGTAATAATCAAGATTCTTGCACCTGCAGGACCGGCTGCAACGACTTGCCGTTCTCGCTGCAACGACTATGACGATGTTTCTGCAGGGAGAAAGATCGATGCACTGCTCGATGTATTTTTACTTCGATCGATGATTTTTACTTGTATCCGACGGTGGTATCTCAAATGTCCATGTATGTTCGTACGAGAAATCCACTTGCACAAAAAAGTATACCCGTTTCTTATAATGTTGAAGTAATATTAATCGATGATACAGTTGATAGTCAATAAATTACGATACATAATACGATATATAATATACACATGTTTTCTATAATGTTTCCTATCCTATATGTGTAATTTGATTATTACGTAATTATGTAATTATACATAATATTTACTATATCTCATAGCACTATGTTATATTATCGTCTTTAAATCGATATAATTTTTCCATTATTTTAATCTATTTTGTCGTGTGCTTCTACAAGCAATGCTCTTGCACTTACCACATTCCCAAAATAAGTAAGTAACTAATTTCTCCGCCCTTCTTTCTTTTCCCCCTTCGTTTTCTTCGCTCGTTCTTCTTTCCCTCGCCGACCAGATCTAACCGCGCCATCGTCGTATAGCCCGCGAAACGAGTTTTACAACTAGGCGACCTCCGCAAGGCGAACGAAGCTACGGTGCGAGAGAACTCTCCTCTCTTGCGAACCCGCGATGAAAAGAAGGAGCGCGAAAGGCGGCCGAAAGAAGTTTCGCGCGTTTGCATTCCGTGTACGGCGAGTACATACTGTCGGATGATCGTCCCATAATAAAATCAGACGATAGTCTGCCCGCGGATGCCTCTCTCGCGTGCAAGCGCGAAGGTAATCAGCCCACATAAACGAATAAACGCTCGACCGCCATCGGCGAGAGGAATGGAAGAGACAGAGATAGGGAATGCTACCAGAGAGAATTCATGCAGGTAATGCAAGAGATCCGCGATATACGAGCATGCAAGCCTCAAATCGCACTGACGACATGATGCGCTAATGAGGAAAGAGAACATGAAAGAACTTAAAGATGCGTCATTTACGTGTACATAAATAAATATAAAACGTCACATTAAAGATGCTGCCGACTTGTACATAAAATCGAGTAAAATATGGATGCATGCACGTAGGATAAAATCTGATAAATATGTGGAGAATTATAATAATATAAAAATATAACAAATAAAAAGAAGATAAAAAAGGAAACGAGAAATGCTGAATGCAAAGCATGAAAAAATGTGTCAAATGTGTTAAATCGTATATATATATATTTTATTGTATAATATTTGTTGTATACGAAAAATGGGAAGTTAATTGCCACTCGAAAATTGATAATTTGTACGTTAATTATAAGATTGTGTTGCATTCGACAAAGTTGCAAACGTT